ATCGAACAAACTCATCGGCACATTCCCTTCGAAGCCGCCCCCGAGAGAATTGAAGTCGTCTGAATGTGCTATCAGTCGTCACTATTCTGATGAGCCGGGCGTGACGAAGGTCGCTGCTGACTAGAGCTGCGTAGCAGAGGGAGCAAAAGGACTTGGCTGAAGGAAGTCGGAATGAGGGTAGAGAGGACACAAGAGTCGGGAATGGGAAAGATAAAGGGATTTGGGCGCGTTTTCACGTCGGATACAAACGAGAGCGGCGACGGAGGGAGTGAGCAAGGAGGAATCGAGAAATCGCTTATCTCGTCCTTCCTTTGACGAGAGCAAGTGAACGAGGACTCATCCCCAGGGTTTTGGGGTGCGGCGTCCCCATTTCCGAGGTCAGTTTAGTCCGAAAGTTAATAGTTAGTTAGGTAGATAGAGGAAGGAGTGTCGGAAGTTATCGAGAGCGCGGATATGGCTGAGAGGAGAACCGATGCTCGCACACTTGCCATCGGATTTAGGCACGGAGGAGCTCTGAACTGAGGTTTCTAGATTGGGAGAAGCTAGTGGAGGTGTTAGGATTAATGATGGATTAGTAGGGAGATAGGTAAATGGGAAGAGTAGTGCGCGGCGGAATCAAGAAGAACGAGGAAACGGGAGCTGAAATCAGGTATCCTGCTCGCTCCTATGAGGGATCGAGCAAGGTAGGAAGCTGAGAGGGGGTTTCCAGGCACTGCGAGATAGCTGACCACGGTAGAAACTGAATTGGGATAGTAGACTAAACGATACTAAGTGCTGGAGTTGCGCGTGGGGAAGGAAGCGCGTATCTACTGCAGCGGGCCAAATGTATCCTCTCGCGTTTTAGGGGAAGGTTCATTCGGTTGTGCTCACCCTACCGACAAAGGTAGCAAGGAGGAGCTAGCCACGTGAGGGAGAGTTACTTGTTGGTCGGCGTGCTTGTCCATCCTATAGATGGAAAAGGACCCTTTTTCGCTCCTCAGCGCGCGTGTTTGGAAGAGTGAAGCGTAGTTCCGATCGCATGCGAGAAGTTCACTCAGATCTTGTATGACCAATCGATAGGGAATGAAGAAGGTGTAAGTGGAAAAAAGGGGACTTACCTTCTTGGGATTGCAGTCGGGATGTTTACCTACGAAGTAGCGAAGAAGGTGAATGAGATTGGGGGAAGAAGGAAAGGAGTTAGGGAGATTTTGATCTAGTTAGCCAGCTATCAGCGGTAGATTTATTCGGATATTAGTTGTTCTATTGATTGGAGAGGGGGAGAGGAGCCAGCGTGAGATTAGGAATTTGCTCTTTAATAACTGGTCTGCAATCAGAGCGATTGAAAGTGAGGGACCTCGCCTGATGCTACCCACCCGACTATTGCAGGTGGCGGGAGTCTGGCTGCGGGCTAAGTACTGATCTGGCAAGGGGACGTTTTCGTACTCCAGCGAAGGAACTCATTCGGTTTTGCTCGACAGTCGAAACTGGAGCATATCTTCACGCCGCCTTTCGGTTGTTTCGTTGCCGATTGTGCTCGTTCAGATGGAAGTAAAGAAGGGCTAGCCGCTGGGCTGAAGGCTTGCTTGATTGGTCCGAGTGATAGCATCTGATTGGCAGATTATGCCTATACAGGCAGAACCATCGAGTGACTGTTGCTCAAAGTTCGAGTATTGCAGTTTTCTTTCAAAGCTGCAGTTGTTGGTTTCTTGTAGATCCACCAGTTTGTCGTGGATTTACACTGTTGGATGGTGTGTTAATCACCCTGTTGCGAGGGGTTGGTAACAGACCAACGACACAATTGCAAGCTTATTGTTTGACTGATGCGCTGCTCATGTCACTGGCCGGAGTTGCAACCTACGAGCTACGGGAAATGCAGCCTCTCAACCGAAGAACGAAGGGCTGAGGTCTTTGAGGAAGGGCCCTTGCTGAGATGCGGGAGGAGCTTAGTTATTTGAAGTCGTTGTTGGAAGGCGGGGGAGTCATCGGGGAGTCGACGACTGGTGTCTGACTTCAGTTGACTGGCTTGCTGCTGCACTAAGCCACCATTGCGGGGCCATCAGGCGATGGAAGATAACAAGACCCTCTCCTGAGAGTTGAGTTGTCCCCCTCTTGTATCTCGACAGTCTCAGACCCCTCATTCTGCCTTTCTAAGTCGAAGTCTAATCCGATTCTGAGAGGAGGGCGGCAGGCGGGATTGCAACCCGTAGGACCACAGCAAGACTCTGTGGGGAGTCAGCCCACCGATTGCGGGAGCTCTGCTGGAACTCTGGAGGAGTTCTGGGGGAAGGGAACTGAGAGATAACCATTTGCTTTCCTTCTATAAACTCACCTATAACTTTTACCTGTATTCCTTGTTATGTTTGACTAAATATACTATGTGCATCCCTACTCTGATCTTCAGCTTGAGTTTCAGGAGACAATCAAGACAAAATAAAGAAATGATTGTGTAAAGTCAGTTTCAGTTTTTGTTGTTTGAATGAAAGTAGATTGTGGGATTGCATCTGGGAGGAAGGCTGAGAGAATCTCCATAAGTTTGGAGGGCCCAGTGCTATGTTTGTTTTTGGATTATCTGAAGAACCAGAGAGGTTCCCCTAAGTTTGGGTGGTCTGGTTGCTTTGACTTGTGAGGGCTGACTGTGATTGTGTTTTCAGGGATCAAGCATTTTTCCATATGTTTTGATGGCTTGGTCGCCCTCTTTCTTTGCGGTTTTCTAAATGTTTATTTAGTTTCTGAAAGAGGGATGAACATTTTTTCATAAGTTTGGATGACTCTGACCCTCTTTGTCTCATTGTGAGGGAGGATTTTGACAACAGATCGGACAGGTTCCCATAAGTTTTGCACAAGAGGTTAACGGGGACCCCTACTTTTCGGCCCTTAGTAACCATGACTGATCCTGAAATTAGGGTTTCGGGGTCAAATTTTGTGTTTTTTTGGAAATTTGTTCCTGCCTATTTTTGTTTTTTGACAAACTTGCTGTGTCTCAAATTTGGTGTCATTAGGGTTAGTAGGATTTGTGTTGTTGATCATCCTGAAAATCCTGAAATTTCGATGAAATATTTTTTGGCGAAATTGCCTGAAAATGCACTTTTGAGGTGATTTTTTTTTTTTTTTTTTTTTTTTAATAGTATGTTAGTAAGAAGTGCACTCTATACACTGGTGTGGGGTTTGTTTGAAATGACCTTATGATTTTCTTATAAATTGAGGTGAAAAATGAGCGCTCGGTTAACCGGCTTTCAAGTTGGAGGTATGGTCTGAAGCCATGCACAAACTAGAACCTGAAGGTTGAAATTGCTTATATTTTATATTATATCACTTATGAACAGGCTAGTCAGACATTTTTCCATAAGTTTGGATGGTCTGACTATAGCTTATCATAACTGAAGAGAGTATTACTTAAGAATAAACATGTGGTAAGAAGAGGCAGGTTGGACCTCGATCTAAGTTGATCGGTCCGATCATATGCTACCTTATAAGACTAAGCGAAGACAATTATATATAATTTGGATACTTAAACAGTTAAGAGTGACTAGGGTGGCCTTGTCATGTGCTCAAAGAAGATAAAAGTCTTTGTGCCCAGTGTTTGTGTATATTCTGGCCGAGCTAGGCAGGTTTGTTGTGCCCAGTGTTTGTGTATATTCTGGCTGAGATACGTAGTTTCCCATAAGTTTGGGTGGCCTAGCTTTATGCCTTATGTAAGCTGGGAATAAAGGGATAAATCATTGAAAGATTACGAATTATGTTTATAGAGGTTGACTTGGGGATGGTGAGAGTGCTTACCTTTGTGGTTTGGTCTTGCATGTGACTGAGTGAGCTTACTACTTGGTCTGAGTTTTAGTTTGACAGGTAGTTGCTTTAGATGCTCGCCACGTGCTAGAGCCGTAGGAGTTAGTTTCAAATTCCTGCATTTTCTGAGCTAACTCTTTTTACTTAGGTCAATTTCTGCATTTTCTGGGATCTTTTATTTTTACTTGGTCTTTTATAAATCTTGGTAAGCCACTTTCTCTTCGGGAAGCACTGCCGAAATTTCTACATAACCAAGGAGTTAGTTATATATATATATATATTTTTTTTTTAACTTTTCTGACTCTTTGGCTCACTAAAAATCTGGAACACCTCCCTTTCTAAAGGGAGTGCTGCCCAAATTTTTGTTAATTCAAGGAGTTAGACAAAATTAGACCTTGAAAAATCAAAGTCATTTTAGATTCTGAATTCAACTTTGTATAAATTTTGGAATAATACCTTTTCTACGGGAAGTGCTGCCGAAATTTCTACAAATCTAAAGAGTTAGTTAAATTTTGTCTTAGTTGAACTCATGTCTTGTTTCCTGAGTTCATATCTGACTTAGAAAAAACATGAGAAGTCTAGTGCTGCCCAAATTTTGGCCAAAAAACACCCTCGACTGGTCCACCTCTACGATTGCAACCGATCAACTTTCGTACTGTGGACTGGTAGCTCGGCGGGGATACGCCCACCGAAGGGAGGTGACAACTCCCGTAAGGTGGAGGTAAGTCGTGCCTCGCGTAGGCACTATCTTGTCAAAGGGGCTCGCAAGAGGTATGGCTGGCGCACTCGGCTGGAGTGGCTTTCGGAAGCTCCATGTACATTCGCGACTAAGGTTTAGACCAACTCCTGCATGATGCGACCGGGAGGGTCCCGCGCTGTCTCGTGCGGTGCCGGATCGATGCGCTCGACAGGTGGCGCTGTTGCCGGGGATAACGGAAGCCTACCGTTGTCCCTGGTGGAACGACATCTGGGCATAAGATTAAGAGAGAAAATAGGCATATGTGGAAAGACGAAATACATAATGTCTTGCCGAGCTATTTATGATAAAATAACAGTTATTAATATAATAAACTCTATCTCTGGTCTGATTAATTGCTTGGGCTAGAAAGTTATGAAGGAGACACTACAGGGAGAAATAAGGCTTATTAAAATAAGTTATATTGGAATGGAAAAAGGGTAGGACCTGTTAGGTCCAGGCCATGAGTTAGTATAGTAGAGGTCTGATGTGAAATGTGATAGGATCGAACTGTTGAATGAGGTGATGGGGTTTTCTTAAAACAGGGAAAGGCGAGTAAAGACAGCCCGCAAAAATGCCAGGGCCTATAGCAGATGGCGAGGGGAAGGTCCTGACGCTCGAGGACCTCATTGAGGCAGTGGATAAGCGGGAAAGGACGTCGAGTAATGTCCCCAAAATCAATACTTTCCACTTCAATGGGGAACGAGTTTCTGATTGGCTGGACCTGGTGGCGCAAGCCTTGATGGGGTTACCGGACGAGGTGAAATTTCAACGCATCCTGAAGTATGTGCTTCATATCCACCATCAAGAGGTGAAAAAAGTTATAAGGGCGGCCAACGGGAGCTGGGCCAGATTCAAGGATGGAATGAAGAGAAAGTATAGGCTGGGCGATGGACTGTTAACCACGACGGATTTAGAGGCCATGAACAAAGACAACTTCACCACGGTGGGGGCGTTCGTGCAAAAATTTAAGAAAAAGGCGAGAAAAGTTTATGGCATCTCAGAGGAAGCCCAATGCGCTATTTTTTTGGAGCTGCTCACCGCTGCGGAAGCTGCAGAACTGACAAGCTATGGAGGAGGAAGCGAGAAACTCACATGGGCCACTATTGACAAAGGCGTGGCAGAAGGAAGTCTGGACGAGGTGGAACAATACCAGATGCGCCTTCAAAGACGTAAGAAAAAGGAAAGGGATGCCACAGCGTCTGAGACCCTACGAGTAAGACGGATTGTCACTGACGTACTGGCAGAACTGGGTTATGAAAAAGATGTGGTAATATACAAAAAGGTAGTGACGGCGGTCCAAGGAAGAGGAAAGGATCAAGTGGTGGAGGAAGCCGTTCGTGAGGAGTGGGAAGAAGAAGAGCCTGTGCCTCAACACCTCTCGAAGGCGCTACGCAAGCAACGCAACTTAGCCCAGGGGGGGCAAGGTTCAGGAAAAGGGAAGATGCCCCAAACAGTGGTAGTCACACCGCCAAGCGTGTCGGCCCCGTCAAGTAGTGCGGGACCCTCGCAAGTGGCCATGGCCTATGTACAATACTTTTATACCATCGGGAAGTCCGGCTCCGCCCGGGCAGATGTTACCATACGTTGGGCCCCAAGCAAGTATGTCGCCTCCAAGCTACCCCGCCGCTCAGGCCCAACCCATGCCGCCACCTCCATCGCCCGCACCTAGCTCACAAGGTAGTGTGGCAGGTGGAGGTAATCAAGGCCAGGCAAATCAGGGGAATGGAGGGAGAGGCGGTGGAAGAGGACGTGGCAGAAATGGCGGTGGCCGAGGAGGTCAGTGGGACAACCAAGGTTACCAACGCCAGGGAAATCAAGGGAGTCAAGGGAGCCAGGGAAGCGGGAGAACCCGTTTTGATTGGAGAACCGCCATATGCCAAAACTGCGACAAGTAAGGTCATACCATACGGTTCTGCAATACAAGGCGGGAAGATGAGAGAGTGAGACTGATCTGACATATATGATCAGTTCGGGGAATATATTAACAGGAAGGTCCCTGGTGAAGTGAGGGCGGAAGCCCAAAGAAGGGTAGCTGCACGGAAAGCGCCGCCTGCCACATTCAAATTATGGCAGGAGAAAGAGAATCCACCGATTAGGGTGGAAGAAGTGGGAAGTGATGACGAGGTGACCCAGAGGCTACGTGCAGGAGATATAAAGGAAGAGCCCATAGTCGTTGAGTCAGAGGAGGAGAATGAGGAGGAGAAAGTAGAGCCCGCATGAGTCCTGCTGGGAAAGATGGAAGACCTGTTGGGAAAGGTGGGGAGATGCCAACATAAGTTGGTGGACCTTTGCGAAGAAGTGAAGGAATGGAGGGCTAACATGCCTAAGGTCTTCCTCTACGAATCCGGCCCAGAGTCGATGCCAGGGCGACCCGGGGTAACCACCGTGGGATCAGGCCCGCGGTCGGCGATGATGACTAGACCCCCTACGACGCAAGGGAGGCTGGCGCAGGCTGCTCGTACCAGAGGCCATGCTAAGGCTAGTGCAAGCCAAGAGCCTCCTCGAAAAGAGCCTGAGCCAGAGAAGAGGAAAGAAGCCGTGGAGGTAAAGGATGATGACGAGGAGGAAGAAGAGGACGAAAGATTGCGCCAAGGGGAAGACAAGAGGGCGGAGCAAAGGGCCAGAAAGAGAGAAGCCAGAGAGGAAGCCGAACCAATCCTGCACGATGTGCCGCCCAAAAAGAAGAAGTATGCGGTCCAGCTGGAAGAAGGGTTCGACGTGGAAAGGGTAATCGATAGGTTGTTGGAGGGTCACAACGACCTTATGACCCTGAAGGAAATTTTGGCATCAGCCCCTAAGCTCCGTGACGGACTGAAGGGAAGATTGTCTCGGCGCCTGGTGCCCAGCGTCCATCAGAGTATGATTCAGCCCAAAGAGGCGGAATGGGCAGAGATAGGGACAAAGATGGACTGAAAGTGTGTAGCCTGTGGTATGGTGGATTTGGTGGTAAAGGGCTCCAAGTGCGCAGCAATGGTGGATACGGGAGTAGAGATGAACATTATCCGCGAAGCTGACGAGCTTAGATTTGGACTAGAGATAAACCGTTCTGATTGCGGCATCCTACATGGAGCTAGCTGCAAGGCAGTGTTTTGCGGGACAACTTCGAATGTACTTATCGGGGTTGGAAGAGTAAAAGCCAAAGCTTGCTTCTTCGTAATGCCTGACGTGGACCACGAAATCCTTCTGGGAAAATCTTTCTTATGCAGGACAAAGACATTGATGTTTAACAAGCACGATGAAACTCTGATCCTAATCATGTGTGATCCTATCTGCGGAAACTACGAAGTAATCACCTATAGGAATACAGGGCCGCAAAGTATAAGGAACCGGCCCAATCCTGACTCGTTCACAATCGAGGAGCCAGAAGACGAGCGTCGGAGGCTCCTTATGGAACCAGAGGAAGAAGAAAGAGTCGAGGCATTTCCCTCAGTTTGTCGAACGTGAATAAGGCCATGAATATAGTGGTCATACACGAGATGGCGGATCCAGACATCATCCAGGCACTGAGGGAACAGGTCCTGGAATGCCCCCAGGCTGGGGAGTTGGAGTTGGTATATCGGCTTCCAGGTGGGAGGAGGAACCGACACCAATGCAAGCACAAGTTGTAAGCCATTTTTTTTAAGGGACGGCCCAACCAAGGTTCCCAAAGGCAGTACAAGACGATAGACAAAAAGTGCCGCCCAGTTCCCGTCCTCGTTACCGAAGATGGGGAGGTGTACTACAAACGGGAGCGAGGTTTGATACGGCAAATGAAGGAGAATGCCTCAGCATGACTATGCCGGACCAACGAAGGGAATGGAGGGAAGTTGATAATAGGAGAGTCTGACTTCCTACTGCCTTAGGAAAGAACATTAATGATAGAACTAATAAAGAAGAGGCATCGCGCCTATGCGTTTAGCGATGAGGAGCGCGACAGGTTGGATGTGGACAAGATTCCTATGATCCGCATCCATACCGTGTCGCACGAACCATGGAACTTGAGAGGGGCGCGGTATCCTAATCCTGACGAAGAGAAGAAGGTGGTAGATTACTCCACTGTCAGAATCATGTGTTGGAAGGCCTATAATCTCACTCATAGACCTTTACTGCGGATGCGCTGTCAGAATCATGTGTTGGATGACCTATAATCTCACTCATAGACCTTTACTCCAGATAAACCAATTTCTGGTCTCTTCGCCAGACAGACTAGTGACGACAATGCATACGCCTCGAGGGCTAATCCATATGAATGTGGCTCCACAAGGATGGACCAACATGGTAGCAATGGTTCAGCGTGCTATGATTCGGGCCATGCAGTCGGTCAGCCCGCATATCACACAACCATATATCGATGATTTGGCAGTGAAGGGGCCAACAGTGAAAGAGAATGACGAAATCTTGTCGGGAGTGAGGCGCTTTGTCTGGAGACATATTCAGGACCTTGAGAAAGTCCTGAATCTGCTTGAAGAGCATAACCTCACTGAAAGTGTGGCAAAATCCAGACACTGGATGAGAGAAGCTACTATCTTGGGATTCGTCTGTAGTGAGAAAAGTCATCGGTCGGATGTAAAGAAGACGGACAAGATTATTGAGTGGCCAGGACCATTCCACTCGATAACTGATGTTAGAAGCTTCCTCGACACGTGTGGGTTTTCGAGGACCTTTGTCAAGAATTTCGCCGCTGCTGCGATTTGAGAGCCGAACTCTCTGTACGAGTGAGAGAAACTACTCTCAGTTCAAGAGCGAGACTCTCGTCGTCCTTCACTACTTGCGAATTTTTCGAAAGTACATCTTTGGTAGGAGGTTCATATTGAGAGTGGACCCGACTGCACTAGCTTATTCCTTGAGGAATTACGTTCCATCGGATCCGACTGTTGCCAGATGACTTACGTACATCTGGATGATCTGGATGTTTAATTTTGAGCTAGAACGGATTCCCGGGAATGAGAATAGGGCGGACGGACTGAGCCGTATCAACTGGGACAAGCAAGAGGGGGAGGCAGTAGAGAACATGCCTGCAGTTGATGGATTCCTGGATCAGGAAGAGGACATCCGTCTTCACATCAATGAATGGTCCCCACGAGTGCCTAGCTGCGTTGGTCATCCTATCTGGCATGCGCCAAATGGGTATGAACAGAAGGCGGAGCTGGTGCTCAAGCCTTTCGAAGAGGAAGATCCATGGGGCAGCAAAGATGTCCAATGGATGATGAAATTGGCACTGGCAGGCACGCATAGTCTGATGGAGGAGGTGAGAATAATAGAGGAAGGACTAGATCAGGTAGAGAAACACGAGGAATTGATGAGAGGGATGTATCTCCTCGTCAATACGCTTCTGCAAGGAAACTTTGATCAGATAGGCTCGTTGAATCCGACTGAGAATGAGGACGTGGTGCCAGAGAGCCAAGATGACGAGTTTGAGGAAGGGGAGATCAAAGAGGTATTCCATGCAGAGGAATATAATGGAATTTACAGAACTGAGACTTCTCCTATCGTGCGAAATGCGGGATAGGGATGCAAGCGAAAACGCCCAAAAGATGAGGCATCGCTATTTAGTAAGAGATGATCATCGTTTTGTAAAGAGGCAAGTGGAAAATCCCAGGAGGGTCGTATGTGGCTGGAACCGCCAGATTGATGTTATAGTTGTGCTTCATGATGGCATTGCGGGAGGACACCAAGGAGTTAGTGCCACATATGCTAAGATAAGCGAGCTATATTATCGGGATGAGATGATGGAGATGGTTAGCAAGTTATGTCGTTCCTGCGTACCCTGTCAAGAGCGATCTCCTCTGAGGCCAAGAGAGCCACTGCATCCAAGGCTAGAAAGGGAAGTGGGGGTTGGAGTACATCTTGACTTACTTTTCATGCGACTTGGGGATTGTGGCTACAATTGCATCTTCGATGCACGCGATAACCTTTCTGACTTTGAAGATGGACGGACCATATGTACGAAGACTGGGTCAGTTTTGGTAAGCTGCATCGAGGAATACTACCTACGTTATCCCTTTGTCAGAGAGTTCGTAATGAATAGAGGGTCGGAGTTTACCTGCCAGGAGGTGCAAGAGTTGTTATCAAGGTACGGCGTGGTAACCAATTATACCACGGTCGCGCACCCCCAGGCAAACGCTCCAGTTGAAAGAGAACATAGCACCATTACAAACCTGCTGGCTAAGTGGACTGAAGGTAGGCCTAATCAGTGACCAAGACATCTGAGGGCGGCATTCTTTGTCGAGAATATTACGGTAAAAAGGACCACTAAGTACGCACCAGCCACGCTATGGTATGAGAGACATGCTACCTTCCCAATCGAGTGCTTCCTAAAGACTTGGAGGCGTGAGGACTTGGGGGTCAACCTGTCTTTTGAGGAGTTGCTCGATATTCGAGCGCGGCAGGTGGGTGCGATAAAGGAGAGAATTCAAGAGGCGTCCAACCAAGTGGAAAGGAGCCGTATGGAGGACAAGGCTCGTTGGGACCAGTTGGCGCGAGTACGAAAGGTACCCTTGGCAGTTGGAGACATCGTACCCCTGTATGACTCGTCCTTGGAGAAGCAGTGGTCCAGAAAACTTGACAAAAAGTGGTTAGGTCCCTATCGGATTGTGCGATGTGGAGATTTCGACGCATACCAAATTGAAGAGCTAGATGAGACAGAATGAAAGGATTGGGTGTCAAGAACGAGATTGAAGAAGTTTGTGGTCAGAGAAGAGGTCTGACTTTGCGAAGACAGCCATGCCAAGAGGAGCGAGGGGGACTCGGCCGCCACGGAGGCCGTTGGGAGCATTAGAAGGTTACGAGCGGCATGAGTCTCGCCACCGAGAGAGTACGCCCGTGTATGATGATGGGGATATAGAGCTATTCCTGGACGATTTTCGGGGGTATGCAGAGCATATGGGCTGGAGCATGACTCAGACGATTGAGAGGCTGAGAGGAGTTGGCAGGTTTGCTGAACCCATCGCACAGATTCGTAGGGAGGCGAGGACGTGCCCAGAGGTGGAGACGAGGATGTAGGAGCTACGACCATCGCCTGTGGGACCTGATGATAGACCGATCCGCCTGGAGATCGGGAATGTGGAGGATTTCATCCCCGCCTTCGAGTGATTCATGCATGGTCAGGGCATATTGAGGGATGAGTGGGCGAGGACGCTGCCATTATGGACAATAAAGGCAGAGAGGCCCTTGGCTAGGCAGGTCAGAGATATGGCTCGGGACTGGGAGAGCTGCAGGGCTCATTTGAGAGAGGCATTTCGACGACCAGAGCCACCTCAGCCTAGAGTTGAGAGACACCAAAGGAGCAAAAGGCAAAGGGACCCTGAGCCCAGAGAGGCCAGACCATCTCGAGGGGGACGAAAGACACTTGCCAGGAGAGAGGAGGAGTTAATGCCTGAGACTGAGGGGCGGGGGGTGTATCCTGAGTGCGGATTGGGACCGGTGGAGTTCCATCGCTTTACCGAGGGAGGATTGGGAGGACCTCCACAACGCATACAAGAGGAGATGCCCGCATCTGGAGAGCCTCTGCAGGAGTTGGAGGCACATTTGGATGTCTCACAGTGGAGAGTACCGCCGATAAGCAAGGAGCGTGGTGGCGAGCCAGCAGAGGAGGTACCACGAGAGGAGGTTCAGGACCCTCAGTGAGAGATGAGGCCGAGTACAGAGAGGGGACATGCTGTAAAGGAGGTAATAGAGGTTGAGGAGGATACTCCCCCTCAGATGCCGACAGTGGGATTGAGACTGGGGAGTACGCCAGAGGGCGCACACGACAGAGAGGAGGGATCACAGCGAGAGAAGATCCCACTACCACCACTAGAGACGGTCCCTTCGCCAAGAGGAAGGGTGGAGATGGAGAGAGAGAGAGCTGACCGGAGGAGAGAGGCCCTGGCTATGATTGACAGGCATCTGGCCGCACACGCCCTAGAGCACCCTGACCTGGAGGAGCCCGTACCCGTGGAGCCACCCCAGGAGCCGCGTCAGGCTGAGAGAGAGATGGGAGTTGAGGTTCCAGGGAGAGTCGACCATCGCACGAGGGAGAGAGTGCCAGCAGGGGAGACAACTGAGGAAAAACGGGCCAGAGTAGGGAAACGTTTGGAGGAAATATGGAAAGAAAGACAAAGATTAGGGGAGGCAGGAGCACTCTCAGATCAGCCACCGCCACCTTAGCCCTATGGAATCAAAGAGATGTGGGATGAGTTCCTTGACCAACATGGCGAGGAATTGACAGCTTTAGGAAAGGCGGAAGTTGGGACTTCGATGAAGGCGGATGAGTACGTAGACCGAAAGATCCGCTTCCTCGCGAAGACATCCTTTGATAGGTATCTGATGTTGGAAGCCGATCTGGACAGGAAAACGATGAAGGAGGTGAGTCATGGCGTATGTCTGGAGGCAGTTGAGGCTGAGGTCCGAGAGCTCAGAGCATTGGTGGCTAGTCAAGTTGCCATTATCCAAGACTTGAGGCAGCAGCCTCGAGGCGGGGCTGACAGAGCTGATAGGGAGGGGCCAGCAGAGATAGTGGATAGGGCAGAGAGCAGCCGACGAGGAGAGCAGAGAGAGACAAGGCATGGCTTATCAGGGCAGCCATCCGCAGTTGAATTCCCCTAAGGACCGCCGATAGGAAGAACCATCTTGGATTCTGAGGAGGCGAAAGCCAAGAGGGAGGCGGAGAGAGAGGCCTTCGAGTTCAGAGCCCCTACTGAACTCGCCACACTGCCCATAGCAGTTGTGGAACCCACGATGGCAGCTACGCCATTATCAGTTGGAGAGGGGCTGCAGACGACCAGCAGTGAGTCAGTCCAGGGCTCAGCAGAGGGGTCTACGGATGTGCTTCTCGAGACTGTTCACACTATGCAGGAGGAGGCGAGCTTATTTTCTCCTGAGCAGAGGATGGAGGAGCCTCCTAAGAAAGAGATGGGGATTACGATAGGGGACGTCATCGAGGGCAGGCCTTAGCGGTTGGATACACCCGAGTACAGGCCAGAGGGGATTGGGATACGACCAGAGCCCAGTACTCAGGAGTTGGGGACAGTACCAGAGGAGCCTTTGGATGTGCCCCAGTGTCATGAGGTGGCCAGGGAAGCAAGCGAGACACCATCATTGCCAGAATCTGAAAAGAAAAAGAAGAGAGGTCGAAGGTCAAGTGACTCATCTTGTTTCTTCTGCAAGAGCGAGGAGCACAGGGCCTTGCAGTGTCCTAAGTTCTTAAAGGACCTGGATGAAGGGAAGGTCACGGAGAGCGGCGGAAGGATGTATGATAGATAGGGTAGGGTAGTAGAACGATCTGCCGATGGGGGTAGGGCTCAGTTGTACAGACAAAACCAGGAGGAGATGAGTGAGTAGGGACTGGTTCGCCTAAGTGGGGGCAGAAGTTAGGCTATGTTTGGTGAGGATGAGATGGACATGGGTTGTGAGTCAGACGCATATTTTTATTTGACTTCTTTGTTATCTTTGGGGGGTTACAACATAGGGTGTCCATCAAGATTAGAACCATGTGAGACACGTGTATACTGAGGTTGTCTTCTTGACATTGACAAAGGAGTTCTGGGTTGTTTTAGTGATTTTCTTGTACGGTTGACCATGTACTATATTGAGAGTGACTTGAGTTGTTTTCAGTAAGTCATAGAACGAGATTATTGTGTATATTTTTGGATGAGATATCTCATCCCTGAGTGTGTTTTTGAGTTGAGTACTATTTGAGACTACTCTTCGTATATGACGATCACAATCACTCTCATATGTGTGGTTTTATCCTGATATATGAAAATTTTGTGTGAAAGATGTACGAGGAACATCTTGTATGCTTTGTATTTTGTAGATGTGAATGGATGTGAACTGTCTACTCTTCGGTATACTCGTGCGATCTACCCATGGGCAGGTGATAGGGCCAAGTATAAGGAGAGAGAGTGCAGTCTGTGTTGATGAAAATGTGAGAATCCTAAGGGATTTATGAGTCGTTGAGACTCGAATACTTGCCATGCCATATGTTATTGTTAAGTTGTGGTAGGAGACCCACAAGTTGGTCTCTTGATTTGACCAGTTTATGGTTGGGACACCTTTTTGTGGGAAGGGCAGTCTTTTTGTTTATTGGAAGGTTCATCTTCAGAAAGGGAAGATGTGTTAAAAGGCCGCATGGGAGCTCATCCTAAAAAGAGAAGGGATGACTGGAAGACCTATTGAGTGAGACGTCCTTCGTATGCAAAACGGGGTGAATAGATTCAATGGCATGGCAGGTTGATTTTGAATGATAAAGCCTGACGAGAAGGACCACATTTTTGCTTGGCCATTATTAGAATTTTAAGAAAGTCGCAAAATGTTTCATTGGAAGATGTCACTGAGAGGTGACCTTCTTGCTCTGATCAAGTAGGGAGGTCACAACCTTGTAAACCTGGCGGTGATTCTATTTTGTGAAAGTGAAGAGGTTGCCGAGTTTCTCTGTGTTGTCCCACAAAGAACTGGTAAATACCTTTTATGTGTGACAGACCTCTGTGCAGTCCCGCAGTAGGCCTGTATTGTTGCGACACACCGTCCAGACACTTGTGCTAATCTTCGGGCATTTAT